TATATATATATATATATGAAGCTCAGCAATGAAAAACCAACACTTTACGGTACTTCTGAAAACTCCACCAAAACCCTGTCGCACGCGATGGGCAGCGCAAGGCGCGACTTCAGGAGACGTGTGGCCACACCCGCTCGGGCAAAGAAGCTCTTCAAACGATTCAGATCCTTCAGTAGGACAGGGCATGAAGTAAGGGCTCAGGGTTTGGTAGGACTGCCGGGAATTGGGAAGTGGGCTTTAAGAGGGGTTGTAAATTCTAGCTGTACCAGTATCACATGTCAGAGTCTCCGTCTGATATGAAAGCTTGACACCCTAACTAAAGCCAGACCGCAAAATCCTAGGGTCCTAACCTTCACGCACACTAAACCACATCAGCCCTAAGAAACCCACCGTTTGGGGTATCTAAGTCATCAAAAAAAGTAGGGGTTCTTTTTGTGCTACCGTATGCCAAAGGCCTTCAGTCGCTGGCGAGAAAGGTCTTCGGATGTCCCAGCAGCACGACACCAAACAGAAATCAGAGTCATGACAACTTTTTGGCATCCTAAACCCTAAATCCTAAACTGTAGGATCTAGGGTTTGGCGGGGGTTAGGGTCATCTTTCTTGTCCAGTTTGGTGGGGAACTGCGGGTTGACCGCTGGGCACCAAAACCTCGTAACCCTAAACCCTAAACATCCCTGAACCCAAACCCCTAAACATCCCTAAACCCTAAACATGCCTGAAACCTTACCCCTAAACATCCCTAAACCCTAAACCCTAAAAAGCGAAACACTGCCCGCCAGAGCAGGCTCCTCGGCGGACAGGTCCCTCCCACGGCCCCGGCCGGCTGCAAAGCGAACCTGCGAGAGTCTGGGCTTCGGGCTGTAACGGGCCGGTTTAGGCACGGGGTTAGGGTTTAGGGTTTAGGGTTTAGGGTTTAGGGTTTAGGGTTTATCGGTTAGGGTTTAGGGTTTAGGGTTCAGGGAGATTCAAAAGCGGGCAGGGCTTTTGGGTTTATAAGGCGCATAGCCTAGTCTAAGTGGCAGTGTCTCAATGCCTATAGAACCTATGAAGACGCTACAGGACCGTAGAAGAGGCGTACAAGGCTTGTGAGTGAGTGCTACGTTATGACATGCCTTAGCCCTAAAAACCTAGAGCTGTGCAACCCTGAAAACGTAACTTTACATTCTAGGCCCTAAGCCCTAAACCCCAAACTGGAATCCGGGGCGGTAAACTCTACGGCCGAATGGCTTGATTACTTGGAGGGTCGGGAGACTTAGTAAGTAGGCAATAAGTAGACTTATAAGTACCCCCAAAAAGGCCCTAATTGGGGTTATAGTACTTATAAGTCTATAAAGTAACCATTTACTAAGTCCCCCGACCCTCCAAGTAGACCACAAAGCCACCATCCCTAAATACTGAGGTGTACTTGGAGGTTCATGGGTAGTTATAAGTGGGGAGTTATAAGTAGGGCAACTATAGTTATAATCCATTTTAGGGGGCTTATAACCCCACTTATAACTACCCATGAACCTCCAAGTAACCCCGCAGCTGAAGCTTGCTTGATCCATGCATCACTACCTTAGACCCCGAAGGTAAGCAAAATAATGGCCCAAAACCCATAAAAAGCTATTCTTCTACATACTTTGGGGGTCCAGGTAAGCCCTTCAACCCCAAACCCCAAAGCCTAAACCCTAAACCCTAAACCGTAAACCCTAAGCCCCTAAACCCTAAACCCTAAGCCCCTAAACCCTAAACCCTAAGCCCCCTAACCCCCAAACCCTAATCTCTAAAGCTCAGCAAAAAGAGGCTGCATTCCAAAACTTCCACAGAGTTCCGAACTGCAAGAGAGCTCCGAAGCTCTCTGCATGGCTCCTTGGCTTTAGGGTTTAGGGTTTAGGGTTTAGGGTTTATTTACCCCAAGCACTGCTTCTTAAACCCCAAACCCATGGTGCCTTGGCTTTTGACGCCGGGGTACTCACTTTCGGGCTTATTCATTTTTTTTCGTTTTTTTAGTGCCTAGGGGTGAGTTTTTTTGAGATGTAGGCATCTCTCTAGGTGAACTGGTGTTGCTTTCCATTCTTGTGGTTGGGGCTGTTTACTTATGTGTCTTTACATTCTTTTGTTACCGCCCGCGTGCCTGCCTGCCTTGCTACCTGCCCGGGAGGCTGGCAGTCAGGCTGTCTGTCTATGAAACACCGACGGTGTTTATCAGCGTTCACATCCCCGGCTTCTAGCGTGGGGTGCTGTGTCCAGTCCGAGCATGAAAGCATCTGGAACTTTGTGTTTCTCTCTTCTGCTCTTCTGCTCTTCTGCTCTTCTGCTCTTCTGCTCTTCTTCTCTCTCTCTCTCTCCCTTGCGCTCTCACTCTTGCTCTTGCTCTTGCTCTCGCTCTCGCTCTCGCTCTCGCTCTCGCTCTCGCTCTCGCTCTCTCTCTCTCTCTGTTTGGCGGGTTGTGCTCATGCAGCACATTGCTCTTCTACCCATGTGTGTCTGGGTAGGTGTCTACTTATCTGTTCCTGACAAATCTGTTGTGCTGTGCCGGGCTGAGGGAAGCAGTAGGATGTGGAGAGGGCAAAACACAGGGGCTTAGCTACGTAGAAGAATGTCATCTTCCCTTCGAGGGACCCGCCCCTCAACTACAAACATCTGCTGCCGTATCTGTGGTCCCCTACACCCGAAGTCCCTGGACCCTGACATCCCTAAACCTTCAACTTCCTAAATCCGATGAGGAGCGATGGAAAAGCTGTTTCGAATTTCGATTCGGTGGGACCCAAGGCTGGATGGGCGAGTTTGAAAGTGCAGAGAACATGTTGCTAAAGACTCCCGAATCTCCAGCATAAGAACATCTCTCGTTTTCCAGAGTCGGGTTCTATCAATTTCTGAAAACAGCTGAAGCCGAGTCCTAAAATCTCATGCCCCTTCCCGAGCTCCAACCGGACTGCCAAGACAAGGTCAACATCTGAAATCCCCACATTCCAAACTCATGAAGCCCGGGAAAGAATGCAGGCGGTGGAACCAGAAGGAAGGGGCCACCGCTTCGTGCTTTCATCCAAGGCACAACTGGGATAGTTGAGTTTGCGAGGCTTCCAGGCAGGAGGCTTGTAGCCTTGGCTGAAGCATTGCTTCTTTTCGTTTCAGGTTGGAGGTTTCTAGGCCTGGAGACACTTGCTCCTGCGGTCACCCTGACATTGGGGAAGAAGCCGGAATAGAGTTGGCACGAGCAGGTTTTTTTGGTTTGGAATCCGTGTGGGGTTGAAAATCGAGAAAGGACGGCTGGACCTCTGTTCTGAATTGATCAGCCTGTTTGTTTTTGATTTTCTCTCGGAAACTTCTTAGCATGTAACAACTGTAGAGCACGCCCAGAGGTCTCATAGCTCAGTTGCTAGAAAAGAAGGTCGTTTGAACTTGGAAGATGGGCTTGCGGAACCTTCTTTTCAGAAATAGGGTTTAGGGTTTAGGGTTTAGGGTTTAGGGTTTAGGGTTTAGGGTTTAGGGTTTAGGGTGTTTCTTGCCTGTCTGCGTCTTGCCGGATTTGGCCGGTTCCCTCCCTCGTCTCATGAAATTCGACGATGGTTCCTACACCAACCCAGAGAGCCCAATACCGTTTAGTTAAGGAATATAGATTTAAATCATAATATTAAGCCCTAAACCCTAAACCCTAAACCCTAAACCCTAAACCCTAAACCCTAAACCCTAAACCCTAAGCCCCTTATAATTTAAGGTATATTCTCTAATTAAGGGGACTTGGGCTCTCTGGGAGCGGTTTGGGAGTTTCAGACCATAAGCAAGCATGTTTTCGTCTCACAAGGCTACCCTATTTCAAGACCCTAAATGATTTTTTAGGGTTTAGGGTTTAGGGTTTAGGGCCCTATAAAGCACGAATGCTGCGATTTTTTTTGGAAGGTTCTGGATCCTCCAGCTCCCGCCGCAGTAGCCGATATATCAGAGTCCTCGATGGACGCTGTGTGCTCCGGCAGCCCTAGTGCTTGAATTCATGATTATTAGATTTTATCTTTTATTAGTAGGGTCAGTACCGTGGCATGTAGCAGTAGCAAGCTGGATTGCTTTTGAGAGTTGTTTTATCGCTGTGCCTCCTGGGTCGTTCTTGGTCCTACGAGTTCATATCGCCTCCATGTTGAATCTTCTCAGTAAGTGGGCTTTGATGGCAAACGGTCTTGCCTTGCACAGCTTTTGCCAGTCTCGTGTTTCGGTCAGCTTGCCGTCATGCAAAGAAAAAGGGAAAAGGCTCAAGGCTCTGATCTAAAACCCGAGCCCTGAAGAATGAACCAAAGCCCTTAAACCCTGTAAACCCAAATCCTAGAATCCTTAAACACCCAAGTCCCAAGCCCAGCACCCAAAATCTAAATCCTTCAAAACCCAAGACCAAGGCCTAACACCTCTAACCTCGACACCCTCAGCCCTAAACCCTGAGCTTGAAACCCGAAACACCATCAACGCTCAAACTGCAATCCTGAAGCGGAGCGTTACACGAGAGAGCGCAGAGGAGCGAAGATTCTCGGCCATCTCCTTCAGTGGGATTTCGGGTTCAGGTGTTTAGGATTAATGTCGGGACTTTAATAATTACCTCTACTATTTTGGAGGTTCCTTAGTATAATTGTCGTATAGTATACCCCAAAACCCTAGTCTATTTATTAGGGCCCCTATAGTAGGGGTTTAGCGGTTGAGGGGTTGGGGTTTAGAGTTCGGCTTTCGCGGGGTTGTTTACAAGCATGTTTTGGATCTTGGCCTCTTTAGAGTGTAGGCTTTGTGGGTCAATCTCGAGATATCCGTGCCACATCACTGCAGTGCCAAGGAATGCGCTTTGGGTCCCTAAACCCTAGACTCTAGACCCTAAACCCTAAACTCTAAACCCTGAACCCCAAACTCTAAACCCTAAACCGTGAACGCTAAACCCTAAACCCTAAACCAGTGGTGTAGGGTTTAGGTGATCAAGGTTTGGGATCCCTCCACACTGCAGCCTGTCCCTGTGTTCCAGAGCGTGGTCCTCGTGGAATTCGTCCACTTGGGACAGAACGCGTAGCCGCTTGCCTGAACTGCGCCCCTAAACCCTAAACCCTAAACCCTTTCAGGCTTGATGGCTGGAATTTCTTGGCTCTGGTAACGAGGACTATTTCTAGACTTCTCATGGCCTAAATCATAAACCCTCTGCTTGGGTGTCGCGTCGCTGCCTTCACCGCAATACTTTTGGGGCCACTGCTTTGTGGTTTCTGCGGCAGAAGCATGCTGAACTTTGTGGTAGAGTGCATCAGGACCCTGAAAGCCTAAAACCGCAGACGCAAAACCTCAAAACTGGAGTCCTAACAGCTAAACCCTGAGCTTATCCGAGAAATATTCACCCAGGTGCTCCTTCTCCACCTACCCGCCGTGATCATGAAAGACATCTATCGAAGTTGTAGCTCGGGCACCAGGGTTTAGGGCCTGGCGTTTGGGGTGAGGGTTTAGGATTTAGGATTTGGGGTTTAGGATTTAAGGTTTAGGGTTTAGGGCTTAGGGTTGAGGGCTTAGGGTTTAGGGTTTAGGGGTTTAGGATTTAGGGCGTGTAGGGTTTAGGATTTTCGGAGATCCGAGCATACCGTTATGCGGGGTGCAGTTGCTGCTACCGCGAGCTTCCGCAACTCCTAGTCCTCTGCATTTGAGTCGGGGGCTGTAATATAGAAGCCTGAATACTTGCCAATATTACTGTTAGGGTTCCTTATTTACTTATTATGGTAATACTATAAAGGAATAGAAGCCTCAATACTTACCTATTTTAATGTTAGGGTTCCTTAATATTGTAATACTAGAAAGACCCAAAACCCTAATTATTCCGGCCCCTACATTAGCCCAGACGGGTGTCTTTATTGCAAGGTCTCCTTCGCCCTTGGGAGATTTTGTAGATGCCCGATTTATATCCAAGCCCCCATTTACCTAACAGCAGATCCTAATATCCAAGTGCTTCAAGAGGAGGGGGTTCAGGGGAGGGTCCAGGATTGAGGGAGACCTCTTTTCGGGTGTTGAGAGAGGGACTTCAGGATCTGAAAGCCTAATATAAGGGCCTCAATAATTGGAATAGGGTTTGTGGATCCTTTTTAGTATAGTTATAATCAAGAACTCCCCCCAAAAAATAATGTAGGTAATTATTGAGGCACCCATATTAAACCCGAAACCCATGGCATGGTCCTCAGTAACTGAGTTAGGGTCCTGCATTGTCAGGAGCCCGAGCGTTGCATTTCTCTTCATAGCTCAGGTTGCAGAGGATATTCGTGCAGATGGGATTATGTCAAACCCCAAACCCCAAACTCTAAACCGTCAGAAACCCTAAACCCTAAACTGTCCTAAACCCTAAACCTAAACTGTCCTAAACCCTAAACCCTAAACTGTCCTAAACCCTAAACCTAAACTGTCCTAAACCCTAAACCCTAAACTGCCCCAACTGCTGTCGGACAAAGGGGCTCAACAAAAAGACTGCCCCAACCTCAAAGCTCCGAATCCCAAGCGTGTTCCCTAGGTAGTATTATTCGGGGTACCCCTTAAAGGGTACCCCTTCTGAACCCTACTTTTGGCTCTCTTAAAAGGGACCTTTATTGAGAAGGTCTATATCCCCAAGGGTCCCCCTAATCCTATCTCCCATTCCCAGAGCTTTAGTTCAGTAGAAGAACCGGGGGCATACGAGAAACTACGGGACACAGGGCTCAGGGGTTTGGGGTTTAGGGTTTCGGGTTTAGGGTCAGGGTTTAGGGTTTAGGGTTTAGGGTGGGACATGAGGATGAAGGGAAGATATCGTCGTTTTCCCTCACCCCGCAGTCGCCATGCGGGCAGTTCTCGAAACTAGGGTCCCTTGTAGGGTCCTTGTTATATGCCGTAAGCGTACTGTATTATTTGTGGGACCTACGAGGGGACCCTACTTTAGAGAACTACCCATGTGTTGAGGAATGCAGCCAGACGAAACATTGAGTGTGTGCCAGATCTGTTCAGCCACTAGGCGCCATTGTGGACTGGATCCAAATTTTTGGCTGTCGGATGGTGTTGGCTATGATAGGTTGTACAGAAGTGGATTGGAGCCATAGGCTACCTGATATCTACATCGTGATAATTCTACATCCATGAGATATTACAGGCTAAGCCCTAAGCCCTATCCTACAAGCATTATCGCAAGTAAGGCAGCACGGAAGACATACGGTTAGCATGACTCCGAGCATGACTCTTGACATTTCGGGTTCAGCGTTTAGGGTTTAGGGGGTGTTTACAGGGGTCGTAATGTTAATTAGTACAGTGGGTGTCCAGCTGTTGGCATGTAGTTGTGCTATATTCTACCACCAAGCCTTATTCCAGTTCTAAACCCTAAACCCTAAACCCTGGACCGTGTCTTATATTAGGGATACAGTGCCCATGCCACGCTTGTGTGTACCAGCCTGTTTTCGGCATTTCATATCGTTTCCTGCTCTGTTTCAACCTGCTCCGTCCCTGAGCCCTAAGCCCCAAGCCAAACGCTAAACCCTAAACTCTAAACCCTAATTTCGAAAATAGTGAAACTTAGTATGTACATGGTGTTTGGGAAGCCGGAGATTTTCCTGCGCAGCTTGATGGCGTCTGAAGAATGACACCTCGAAGGTCACCCCGAAGGTTAGGCTCGTGAAGCGGAATGTCTCACATCTTCTTCCCCCGAAACGTCTTGGGTCAAAACTCGCAAACCCGAAATTCATCTCGTCAAGCTTCGCCGCAGGAGACCTCAAACCCTAAATCCTGCACCCCTAAACCCCAAACCCTAAATCCTAAACCCCTAAACCCTAAACCCCTCAGTCGGTCAGATGTGGATTATCAGCTCCTGGGAGGATTGAATATTCAGAGGGGGGTTTGGGAGTACAGTAGGGGCCTTGATAATCAGAATAGGGTTTTGGGGGTTCCTTATTATAATTACAGTATAATATACCCCTAAACCCTATTCTGATTATCAAGGCCCCTACATAACATTATGGTGTATGTTGACAACGCATTACTAGTTGTTCAGGCCCTGGTATCAGTGGTCGAAAAGACTTTTCTGTCACTTAACCTCTGACGCGGACGCGAGTCTCACGTGGATATTCCCCGCTCCTGCAGTTTGCTCTCATGTCCTCTTTCTTACATTTCGGTGCGGCGTCGTCCCCCACATGGAAGAGCTCTCGTCACACATGGTGCAGCTCGTGAATTCATCAGCCTGCCTCCGGTTCTGCAAACCAGTACGGCAAACAACGGACAGCGCTGCTCAGCAGGGGCATTGGGCTTTGGGTTCTGGGCTGCCTGGGGTGTTTTGACCTAGAATTGGGTGGCCAAGAAAGCGGCAGGGAGAGGGGAGGAGGGAGGAGAGGAGGGAGGAGAGGAGCTCCTCCCTCAGAAGAAATTGCGACCCTCCGAATAGGCATGTCAAGAATTTGCTTCAAACGTGAATTCAGGAACCGCGATGGCGCACTCACTCATGCACGCACACGAAAATATGATGCGGCGCTACATCGCGAACAATCAATTTATTGATCGATCTGGTATTTGATTGGCCCCCAGTAGTTGTTCAAGGTTCCTGCTTCTCCTTTCAGAAAAAGGGCTGCGAGAGGGGTGAGGTCCAACTTTGGATCAATGTCGGTCGAGGCTCCTGCCTACGGGTGTCCCACCTTCTACACTGGCTGTCCTCGTTGTAGAAGATTTCATTTAAGGTCGTGTCATGTCTGCAGGAGATTGGAACCACCTATGGTGTTGGGGTGGGCTTGGTCAGTCAGAGTTAAAGCCTGTCAGGGTTCCCAGGTTCTGTTTTGACATGCCCAGCTGTTCAAGCTTCGAAGCGCCCAAGTAGTGAAATTGCCTTCATAGTTTTGGCCTTCGCTGACATCCATCAATTTATGATGCCTCTGGAAGATAGAATTCACAGCGCCCCAGCTTTGCTCAAGCCACAAGGGTGCACGAGCCTCAGCGGTAGCCGGTCAGAGATGGCCCCGTC